AATCACAAAACAGAAGTCACAGATTCAAAATTATAATTCGCGAATGAGTTAATATGTCCATTAATTATCATACAGGTCAAACATATTGTTCTTCGACATAATTCAGCATAAAATTTCAAAAATATCGTTTACATTCATTTGTCCATTGATCCAATAAAACAAATAACAAAATAAATACTCTAATAAAAAAAATGGACATAATAACCGTAAATAAAACTAGAGGTCAAATGTGAAGAAATCATCAAAATTCGAGGGTATCTCGTAAATATAATTGCGGTTGGTGTGTGAAGACACTAGACGAGTCAGGGTCTCTCTCGCTTCGCACTACGCAGCTTCTAAGGCGAGTCTGTCACGAACGTCTTCGTCTCCGGCGAGCGGTTAACTTCCCGAATATTTATTGTATCGGAAAATTGATCGATTATCTTATCTTATACGGTATATACCTTTTAGTAATCGTTATCTTTCGATTACCTTCACACTCTCTCTCTGTCTTTGATTTTGAGTAGATTCGACTCTATATTGGCTAGGGTTTGAAGGAAGTGATTGTTTTGCCTTGGTTTTGTTTGGGTTTGGCTGCAGTTTGATTGGTTAGGGTTTCGTCCTCAAATGTCAGAAGCTTCTAGGCGGAGTAGGGTCACTATTACTCTTGGCCGTAGCGGCCAGGTACGTTTCTTCTTATGCTCTTGCTCTTGCTCTTGCTCTTGCTCAATGTGTGAGAGAAGTAGCTTGATTTGGTGCGTGCGTGATGGTATCTGGTGTATGAGGATCTGGAAATGAGCATGTTCTACTGTTTGCAGAGATGGTTCTATACGAATAGAAATCTGGTGGTGTGTGATTTAATGAGCTGAGTATAGGAAAGTGTTCATCTGTGATATGTCTTTTTCAGGTGGTGAGTCGAGATGGGAGTGATTTTGATGAGCTGCCCAGAGTTGGGACCAAGAGGTCTGTCAAAGAAAGATTAGGGAATCAGTTTGATTCTTCTGCATACGGAAGTGATGCGGTCAGTAAAAGGTGTTTCCTTTTTCCTTCTCATGTGTGTATTGCTGCAATCCTCTTGAGCTTCTTAACTTGTGATATCTCTGTTATTCTTGACGGAAGTTAGGCCCTTTCTTTGGGTTCATGGGGTTGGGAATAGTGAGTATTGGATTTTAGGATTTTAGTGATGGGTTATACTTTGTCTTTTTGGAATTAAGCAATGACTGAGAGATATGGCGTTTTCTTTTCTTTGTTTTGTGTAGGCAAAGAGGGGATGCAAGTTTCAGTGGAAATGGTATTAATACATGAATTACTGGATACACACTTGCTTCTTTGCTGATTTTCTGACCCACCACTCTTATGTTTCTAAGATTTGCAGATCAGTCAAAATGATCTACGTTTCAAACTGTTGCAAAAAAATGCACAGAGACGAGCTCAGAGTGAGGAAGGCAGCACTGTGGATCTTCGTGAAAAGCTGCTCTCCAAGTCCAAGAGTGAGCACCTTCCTCGTAGCTTTGATACTCGACCTCGTATGGCTGACCCGAGGGATGATCCGTTACCTTCATCAAGAACTGCTCCTGGTCCCTCTCAGATGCTTTCTTCAAGCGGGTCTTATGCTCCATGGACCCGGGATGATACACAACGGAGATCTCCAGAGAGAAGGCTTATGAGTACTTCCAGGGGTCGATCACCACCAAGAAATGCTGGTAGTATCAGTGGCACTCCAAGGACTCTTTCGCCACTTAGGAACAACAGAAGCTTCACCGGTGGTTCTAGGGAGTTATCACCGCCAAGAAATTCTGGAAGAATGATTAGCCATTCGAGGAATATGTCGCCACCAAGAAATACTGGAAGGATGATTAGCCATCACAGGGATCATCTATCACCACCAAGAAGTGCTGGAAGAATATTTAGCCATTCAAGGAATATGTCGCCACCAAGAAATGCTGGAAGTATCAGTGGCACTCCAAGGGCTCATTCACCACCAAGGAACACCAGAAGCTTCACTGGTGGCTCTAGGGATCAATCACCGCCAAGAGATGCTGGAAGAATATTTAGCCATCCAAGGGATCTGTCACCCCAAAGAACGACTGGAAGGATGATTAGCAATCCAAGGGATCCATCACCGCCAAGGAACCCCAGAAGCTTCAGTAGTGGCTCTAGAGCTCTGTCCCCTACTAGAAATGTGGGAAGCAGCTACATTGGTTCTTCTCGGGGTTTTTCTCCTTCTAGGAATCCTGGAGGAAGCTACGTAGGTTCTTCTAGGGGTTCTCCTCCATCAAGGAGCATTGATGATTTCCATGGACGAAGCAGGATGGTTGATGATGTTAGACCATCACCGTATGCAGTTAGAGGTGTAGTAAATAATCAAGCGCCAGGAAGTGGCACTGCTTTCACCAGGCCAATGTTACCTCCTCCAGTCCCAAACCCTCATCCATTGCCTCCTTTGAGTCAGCTTCCTCCACTTGGAAGTATGATGCAGAACAGCCCCTTCCCTGTAAGATATTTTTTCTCTCAATTTGTGGATGTCTTTTCTCTGTATGGTATACACTCTGTGATTGTCTGTTTGGTGCTATAAACAGATGGAAGAGCCTCTAACAGTAGAGAGCTTTCTAAATTCACTTGGACTTGGAAAATACTTCCTTGCGTTTAAGAGAGAGGAAGTAAGTGGCTTTACGCTAGTTTTGTGCTTTTCATGTTGTGGCATTTCAATATGCAGCAGATACAATCACATACAGATTCTATGAAAAATGCTTGGTAGCTGAGCTTAACTACTATTGACAACAGGTGGACATGACGACGATAAAGCAGATGAAAGAAAGTGATCTAAAAGATCTCATCATACCAATGGTACTTTCCTTTTGATATCGATCTGAAACAATTAAGATTGATCACTCTTCTTTTAGCAGATTTTTTGAACTTTTGGTACCATTGATTCAAATGCAGGGTCCAAGGAAGAAGATTTTACAGGCCATAGCGTGTCTTCCAAAACGGTAGCAGCTGTGAGAAACGGGTTTGGCCTCTTGCTGATTCTTACTCTTGTGGTCATAATTGGCCTTTTGCGGATCAAAACTAAGAAGAACTCTTCTCTCTGGATGATTGTAGTCAGAATGTTATTCTCTGGATCTTCTCTGTGATGAAATTGACTATTTTTATTCTAGACAAGTTGTCGACCGAATCAGCCTAGTCGTGTCCAGGGTTCGTGTCTTATTTTGAAACGTGACATGCATTTTGGTGAATTGTAACCTTTCTCGAATAACATATTTCAATCCTAGTGTTAACCCCCGCCCCATTTAGTTACGTACTTTCCTTGCTAGTAACTATTTCTAGACCTTGGTGCCGTTTACGAATCTATCTGATTGGAAAGAAAGAAGCAGATAAGTTTAGTGCAGAACCTTAACTTTACTACAATAGCATTAACGGAGGAATTCATTACCACTCTTTTATTCTCAGTTCTCATTACTGCTCTCATGCTTTGCCAGTAACACTGCACAACACAGGCTTAGGCTTAGTTTAGTTCTAAAATCTCTTTCAATGAAGATGAATAGCTGAAATTGATCCCCCACTTCCTACGTTTCATGTGCTCATTTGGAATCTCTGTGCAAGCCATCACAAGAATTATGGGTCTAAAATTAAGAAACAAGCTCACTTCGTTGTCCAAGTCTTTAACTTGAAAGGTAATATCAATTATCAACTAGATATCATGCAGAGCACCAAATCCACCAATATACAAGATTATGAATGAAATTTGAGCAAATGAGACAATCAACAGACATATCATGTCACTAAAACAAGACATTTAAAGTCAAAGAACTTCAATAAGAAATATATGTGAGGATGAAGATAAGAGTGACAGTGGGATCGAATGAATACTTATAATCAGAATTTCAAACAGAGAAGGGTTGCGTTACTTGTGTAATTAGAGAAGAATTGAAACGGGGCTTCCCTATTTCGAATAAAATGAAAGGGTCTAAAATGAAACAATTAGAAAACCAAAGCTGTAAATAAAAAAAGAAAAGAGTGAAAGACGGATTCTATAATCCCACATCGAGAAGCTGGAAGTTTGTTAACAGGGAGAGACGCGTATAAAAACAAGGCCTAGCTCTTACTTCTAAACCACGCAGCCATGTGGTGAGCACAAAGCGAACTATTCTTTCGCCTTTTACTAAAGAATACCGTGTGTTCTCCACGCTTAAGTGGCATACGCCTATTTTTGGAGGGTCCTACTTACTAGTGGGCTCAGCAACATCTAGTTGAAAATTTTAGCATGATTCGAATTTAACTCGAGACCGGCTATAGATATTGCGATTAGCTTAGGATGAAATATATTTCAGTTTGTTAAACGCCATTCCCCCACATAATGTAATCAAGGATTCAAAGTATGCAAAACAATTAAGTATTATGTATGATGAAACAAAGAGTATCAAGTTATTGGTCATCTTAAAAACTGTCGTCAAATTTTTGTTATCAGGAAAAGGTTCAGTCAGATGAACCATTTAGGTATTATTACAGTTTTTCAGAAACCTGTTGCTGCATGTGCTGTTTGTTTGTTTCTGAGTGGGAGCTTAAAAGTCAAATGTTCAAAACATTTTTCGGGAAAAATCCATGATTTATATGTGTAATTGACTTATTCATAACAAATGCCTTTTTAATAAAATTTTGTTGGGTGAATGAGCAATCTAATGTAATTCAAATATATTTGATTCATTCTACCAAATTTTTTGTTTTGATTCATTCTGCAAACGTGATAACTTCACACGTGAATCATATTCTAACGATTTTTTTTCACAAATTTTCACTGAAAATGCTATACTTACTATCTTGAAATGTTGTACTCATTACATATCTTTCAGAATTCAGCAGAAGTGCTGCAATATCTTTTTAGAGCATGGGGAAAGTATAATATCTTTCGAAAAGGGGACTTGTTGGGCTTACCGTGGTATATGGGCTTTTCTCAAGTTTGGTTGGACCAAAAGGAAACTTAATGGGCTTCCCACGTGTATCTGATCTTCAGACATCGAAACGCCTCCTTTGACTCTTTAGGGTTCTTCCTGCAAAACCCCCATTTCATTGCCTCCAATCTGATAAAAGAAGAGCTTCGATCCCTAAGAGATGAGTTTGATCCTCAGATTCAGACAACACTTATCAACCAAGTTATCTCAAACCTCAAGATCTTTACTCGTTTCCCGAAGTTTCGGACAACCAGCGAGACAAGAAGATGAAGAAGAAGAAGAAATAGATCAGAGGAAGCTCCCGACAGACTACGATCCCGCGACATTCGATCCGACAGAACACCGAAGTCCACCAACAGACCGCGTGTTCCGTCTCGTCGACGAGATCTCATCTCTAACGCTATCAGAAATCTCGGAACTCGGCGCGATTATATTGAAGAAGAGAGGCATCACTGAGACACCAACCGTCGCGGTTATGAAGCCCGGAGCTGTAGGTGCCGGCGGGATCGCTCAGGGGACAGGTGGTGGCGGTGGTGGTGGAGCGAGTGAAGAAGCGAAAGTGGAGAAGACAGTGTTTGAGATAAAGCTTGAAGGGTTTGAAGCGTCGGGGAAGATAAAGATAATTAAGGAGGTGAGGAGCTTTACTGATTTGGGGCTGAAGGAAGCTAAGGAGTTGGTGGAGAAGACTCCTTCGGTTTTGAAAGCTGGTGTTTCTAAAGAGGAAGGTGAGAAGATTGTTGAGAAGCTTAAGGCTCTTGGTGCTAAAGTTGTTCTTGAGTGAAAATCAAAGCAAGGTTTTATGTTTTACTACTTGATCTTTGAATTTTTTTTTCTTTGGTTCCGTAGGAGCTAATAATGTAATAGATTACACTTAAGCAGCTTTTGCTATAATTGGTGGTTTTGAGAGATGATTAAGTACATCAATGTTTTGGGAACTCTTGTGTTCTAGTTTAGTGTTGTTTTTCTGGCTTTGATTCTTGTTTCTGAAATCTTTTAGGATGAAACTAGTTTCCACCACTCGAGAAAAGTAGAAGACATACATAGTCAGTTACTAGGTTGCAATACTACGCATATGGTTAGAAATTGAATTAATCAGCGAATTGTGGACTATGTAGTTGTTGTAGTCAGTTTCAGAGACTCGTATCGTTTTATCCTCTCGGGAACAGTGGGATAGTTATGTGGGTGGGTTTTCATGTTTAACTCGTTCCTGTGACAACAAGGTGCAAACATCGTTGTAAAGCTCAAGTTTGATATCAGTGTAGTACATCTCTAGACCATTGTCGCCTTTTTTTAGATTTGAAATGGGGACACTCAAAACTCTGTACTTGTAATTCTGCAATAGAAAAAAAAAGCCAAGCAAACTACTCGCATTTTTTATAAAGAAAGTGGAAGTGACATTAGATTTAGTTGTTCAAAGTGCTGAAGGAGGCTAAATATGATTTGGTTTTGTGACTATTATAAGTTGTCGCAGAAGCATTAATATTCTGAAAATTACTAATCAGGATGGAGCTTCTATCTTCTTTTTCTTTATCTTATGCCAAACATTCTGAAACAACTCCAATAACTTGTGTGTTTACTTTTTAGTTCTATCCACATTCTTAACTTGAGGGACCTCAACATTTTTATAGCTCGTTGGGAATTTAAAGGCAATTGGTGCAAAAGTTGTTGTAATGGGTCAAAAGGAGAGAAGACTATTCCGACGTTTGTTTAAGAAGTTTTGTATGTGATAACTGGTAAGGAACAAACCCGAATCTATTATAAAAGCACAAACCATACAAGAGAAAAGGGTCCAAAGGATTCTAAACCACAGTGATCTGTACCCAAGTTTGCTTGACCCTGCGCATCAGTGATGCATTTCTAAGGCAATGTCCATGAATTGAAACGTCAAAAAAAGAAATGATGAGACTAAACACTTAAAAGATTCACTCTGCTACTAATGATCATTCATCCTTTGAGGTTGAAGCAACTTTTGCTGCATACTTGACCAAGACACCAGTTAACAGAGCCTTCTCCTTCATCTTTAACCTGTGAAAATCGTAATTACAGACATCAATCATTCATTCAACCAAAAAGAATCTACCATTGTTACTGTTTTAACCACAAAGATTGCTCCATGTTTTTTTTACCTCTTTGAAGATCCAGGAATCTCTATGGTTGAGGACTTCTTCCCTTTCACAAGAACCTTTTTCTTCTTCTTCTCCTTCTTCTTCCCTTCGACTTTACTACCGGTTTTAGATTCAGATTTATCAGAGTCGGATCCTCCACCCAAAAGCTTTTCTCTACCTAGAAGCTTCAGCTCCAGCCTACGGATTCTATCAATCCTTTCCTCATCTGAGGATGCCACTGAACTTTTCAGAGGCTCAAGATTCTCTTCATCAGCTTCTTCTTCTTCATCAGCCCTGTCATATTCATCATCATCCACACGTGCTTCTGCTACAGCTTCCTCCGGTTTACTCACCGCTTGGAATGAAACTAAAGGTGCCTCTAGTTCCTTATGTTCTCTAGTCTCTCTCTTTACAACTTGTTTCTGAGACCTTACATGGGTCTTAGAATGACGCCTTGGTTCTTTGGGAATATCTATGCTACCAGAGATAAGATCTAGCTCATCTTCTTCTTCTTCTTCTTCTTCCACTTCTATTTCATCAACATCTTCGTCTGAATCATCCGATGATTCCTCCCATGACTCCACAATAGCATCTTCTTCAACAACAACATCAACATTAGAAACTGTCTCCAAACCAGGAAAAGGAAGCTCCTCAAAGACTGTATCCGAGCATAGTTCCTCAGAAACTGATTGGCTTGAAGCAAACTCCACAACCTGACATTTAATCTGCTTTACAACCTTCCCAAACGACAATTTCTGTCCATTGAATTGCTCCACAAAACTAAAGGAAAAAAAAAAACTAAAACTTTATCCTCATCACCAAAGATAGATATGCTAATTTAAAAAACACCATACCTGTTTGCATCAACCTCGCTTTTGAAATCAACAAGAGCAAAGCCTTTACAGACAGGATCTTTAGTCTTCTTATTACCAGACACAGCTGGCTCTATCTTCAACACCCCACTCACTTCCTTAAAAGCCCCCTTGAGATCTCTATGAACATTCTTCTTCTTAGGAAGATTAGTCACACGAACACGAAACCCACTTTGAGTCTCACCTATAATAATCACTCAAAAGCTAAGTGACATTGACCAAACAAGTATGAGAGAAAAGAACAAAAAAAAGACGAAACCTTTGGTGAGATTATCGTCGCGTTTAAGCTTGAGAGGATCGTTCTTGAGCTTGTTGAGATTAGCAGCTTGAGCTTTCCAGCTCTGCTCAATCTCGTCCAGGAGCTTGTCTTCGATCAAAGTTTCGTACTTTTTACCAACACCGAACCCACGTGGCTTCTTCTCAAGCCATCGCTTCATCTTCTCCATTGGCAAGAACTCTCCTTCGTCTTCATCTCCTTCTCCTTCAGCTTCTACTCCAAACTCATCCCAATCTTCATCCTCATCCTCCTCCTCTTCTTCTTCAACATCCTCTTCGATGCTGTTTCTACGTTTGTTTACAGCGAATGAACGAAACCCATGGTTCCTTTTGATAACGATTGTTCGAAATCTATGAGGAAATGAGATGTAAGAAGAGGTTGTGAAACATGGAGAACTCAGATATATAGACGAAGGAGGAGAAGAGGAAGCGATGGGACACGGTGATTTAAAACGTGAATGGAGTAAAACGGAATTGCAGAGCGAAGCTCCGTTCATGCTTGTGTTGTGTTTCTTTCGTTATCTTCTTCGTTGGGGAAGAAAGATAGCTGCAGAATCGCGAACAAATGCGTCTTCAGTAAAGCCCAATGGGCCTGTTTCGACCCCCATAAGTGTTGCTTTGCGTACATTTTAGTAGTAATTATTTCAATTATTTTCGTCTTATCTATTATATTAAAAGAGAAGTCATAACTCACTTCATGTGTGATTTTTTTAGTTTGGACAATCCTTAGAAATTTTATAAAATTTTACATAACATCATTATAATATCTTTTCATATAGTTTTTATTTTAAATACAAGTAGTTTTAAAAAAATTCTAACAAAATCTTTTAAAAGATCTTTTAGAATCTTTTCAAGATATAGTTTCAAAAATTATTTAATTAAAATTTTAATTATCATAACATATAATTAAAATTTTAATTCATTTTTATTTATAAACAAACAATTAAAATTATGTAAAATACTTTTAACAATATCCCAAAATTTTGTTTATGTATTGTGTAGTTCAAACTTAATTTACTTTTTACATATATTTCAAATCTAGAAATAAACAAATATATATAAATTAGTAATTTTACATATATTATTTTTTAAAATTGTTAATAAAATACAAATTTATAAATTTATATTAATAATATAATAAACCACATAAATATTATTATAAAATTAGATAGTATACAGAATCAAATTATATTTATTTATTGATAAATTTTACTCCCTCCGTTTCTTAATATATGATGTGTTGGATCATTGCACAAAAATTAAGGAATTTACATTTTTTACAACAGTATTTTTACAGATATAATTTTAAAATCATTCAACCAATTATTATAAAAAAGTAAAATTTTATTGGTTGAATATTTTCCAATAAAGTTAAAGCTAACCTTAAATTATACTTTACAATTTTAAAACATCTTATATTTTGAAACAAAAGAAATCTTCTAAAACATCATCTAATTTGAAACGGAAAGAGTATTATATATTTTCAAATGAACGATAGTGTGTAAAAACCAAACGTCATATCGCAATAGAGAAGAGAGAGTGTGTTCCTCCTCCCCAACGAAATTTATCGAAACCAAACGGCGGAGGATCTGGTTTTCCGGTTCAAGCTACTCAAAGAAACACTTATCTGCAAAGTATGAACTTTTACTCTTTAGTGTTTGCTTGTACGGCGTAGTATTATAGTAATGTTACTACTTGCTAGTACTATCATCATCAAATGAAATTGAGCTTTTAGGGTTTCTTAAATCACACATTTGCTCCATAGTTCTTTTCATCTTTCCCGCCTTGACGAAAAATTAAAATACAAAACCGTTCTTGTTTTTATCCTTAAAAACTTAGGGTTTATTATTATTATTTTTTTTTTTTTGGTTTATCTAATCTCATTTTATTGTACAAAGATTTCTCCTTTGTTCCTATCTTCCATGGTTTAATTAATTTCATGTCTTTTGAGTTTTTTAAGGTTTCATGGAGACAACAAGAAAGATTCCAGTGTTGTGTTATTGGAACGGGTGTATTAAAGATGGCCCTGATGGTCCACACTACGAAGGATCAAGCCCAAGAGTGATCAGACTCGAAAGAAAAACCAGTTTAGCTAAATTGCTAGAAGATCTGCATCGAGTCACTGGATTTGACAAGGAAATTTTCAAGATTGACGTGATTGGTAGATACCCTTCCATTGTTCAACAACCTATGGTGAAGTATATCCGTTTACCCGTTGTGGATGATTCTAGTCTTGAGACCATGCTCGAGGTTCCAACTTACCACCCTTCTTTCAACAATGTGGAGTTGTATCTAGAGGCCACACCGGTTGTTTCTGATGAAGGTCATTCCTTGGCAAATCAGGTGACGCGAAAACGTCCTCGCCAAGATGATGATGCAAATGAACTCAGCGACTGTGTTGAGTGTGTTCCAAAGCAGTTGATTTTCTCTAGTTCATGGCTTGATGAACGTGAGTTGCGTGTTGGGATGGTTTTTAAAGATAAAGCGGAGCTTGTTAAAGCAGTGGAGTTGTACTCTTGTCGAAGGCAACGAAATTCTTATGCATGGTTTGAGTCACCCTTTACTACTTCTTTTGTCAGTAGAACATGTGCAGCGAGAGGCGACAAATGCAAATGGACTCTCGAAGCAGAAAAAACAAAGGGAAATGGTTGTTTTGAGATAACAAAGTATAACGGACCTCACACTTGTGACCCAGAAGATGTGCGCTCAGATTTTCTGGCGGCTGAGCTCCAAGTCCTACTCAAGGCTCGTCCTTCCCTCTCAGTTTCAGAGCTAAACAAGTGGGTGAAAGAAGAGTTTGGATACACAGTCTCCCGTGCTGTTATGTGGGACGCTAAAAAGGAAGCCATCACTGCAATCTCGGGAGATTCGGACAAGAGTTTTAACGTGTTGCCAAACCTCATGGCTTCCCTTTGCTCATCTAATAAAATGCGTTTAGAGTGGCAATATGATCTTCTTCCGAACAACCCCAAGGACGCATCGTTTCGTTCCGTGTTTTGGGCGTTTCACCAGTCAGTTGAAGGGTTTCGTTACTGCAGACCAGTGATCATAGTCGATGCAGTTGACTGTGGTAAACACTGTGGAAAATTGCTAGTTGCCGCAGGTTTTGATGCTGAAAACCAGCTTTTCCCGCTTGCGTTTGCGGTTGTTTCTCAAGAAAAGTTGTCTGCTGATTCTTGGCGTTGGTTCTTTGCGTGCATCAGAAAGAAAGCAACGCACAGGGAAGAAGGCCTTTGTCTAATAACAGCTATGGATCCTGACATAGTTAAAGTTGTCAACGAACCTGAGTGTCGGTGGGCGCGACACCGGTTCTGTCTTAGGCATCTTTGCTTCGAGTTTTACGATGCTTTCCACAACAATCTCATGACGGAGTTTGTCTACAAGGCTGGGTCCACAGGGTGCGTTTCAAGTTTCGATCACTACTTGAAGAAAGTCGAAGAGATGAATCCAGAGGCTCTGAAATGGTTAGAGAAAACGCCTCCACATAAGTGGGCGCTGGCTCATGATCATGGCGGGCTTAGATTTGGAATCACGGAGACAAACTTGATCTTTGCTACTTACGGTTTCATAAACTATATCCCTGATCTTCCCATCACAACTTGCGTTTTGCTAATCTTTGACCACCTGGCAGAGCTTTTCATATCCCAACGTGGTCTTCTCACACTAAGCAATGGAGACAAGTATGCTAAACATGTCATGACAAAGCTTGGAGAGTCCACTAGAGCATATGATGTGGTGCCACTAGACGATACCGGAGAGAGGTTTCAGGTCGAGGAAGTGATGAAGAATGGAAACAATAAGAGATTTGTTGTTCATTGCATTGATCGGGTTTGTACTTGTGGGATGTGGCAACTCTACAAGTATCCGTGTTCTCACTTGTTAGCAGTTTGTAGGAAGATGAAGATTGACTTTTTGCAGTATGTCAACGACTACTACAATACAGAACGTTCTCTTCAAGCTTACGCAGCTAAGTTTAATCATGTTCCGGGATTTTCTGAATGGCCGGAGGCTTCTGAAACTCCGAGGCTCTTTCCTCCCAGAAGATCAACCAGCATGAACTAAACAGTGATGGGTGGTGTTATGTTTAATTGGTTTTGAGTGTAGGTAAAAACTTGGTATGCAATGAGAAGCGGCTAATGAATTTGGTGTATTTTGTTTGTGAAATATGCTTACCGGTTTAATGTTGGTTTTTTGGTTTAAAATCTGGTTTGGTTTATGTGTCTCATGTAATGGTTGGACAAAGTAGTTTGTGTGTTTATGTATGAAAACCAGTTACTTTTAAGTTCTAATTAAATTATACCATATATATTGCAGTCAGTCAGTGTTTTTCTCTTTCGGTTTATTAGTTTACTTACAACTAAAGATGATTAACTGAATGTGCCATGATCTAAGTAGTGTAGAAGATATGGTAAACAAAAAAAAAATATTGACAATTAAAGTTTTTGAATAGATAAAGAATGGATGTGACGATTAAAATAAAAGCTAATTAGAAGAAGAAATCAACAATATCTGATGGAAATACTTAATTAGTAACGAGAGGTGTCAGGGAGAGGAGTGTCATTGAGGAAGTGAATGAAGAGTGAAAGAGAACGTTTTGGCTGGAAGCTAGGAACTTGATGACCAGCCCCTCTCACGGTTGCAAAAGTCAACTTCCCTTTGTACTCCTCTGTGTACCCTCCCACCTCTCCATCTAAGTACCACGGATGCCAAGCCGTTTTGGGAGTTAGATTCATCTTCTTGAGCGAGTACTTGGTAGATGTGACCGGGATTCTCCCGTCCATATCTCCACTGAACACCCAAACACGGAGGCCCTGACCCATCAGCTCCTTGATCAGAGGAATGACTGTGGTGGGACTATCATTCCACTTCTTTATCACACTGCTGCATGGCATCCACTCGTAAGGAAGTTTCGTACCGTTCGCGTGCAGGGCTACCTGAACATCCTGCCTGTTCAGGTAGGCCTGCACGTAACTGTCGCTACACGGGTCGAAGTCTCTTATTGTGGTCCCTCTCTTGGGCCTGCGAGTGAGCGTGGAGTTGAGGCACAAGGGAGCGTATATGTTGTAGATGTCCAAATAATATGTATTCATGTCGATTTGGTCCGACACGACCGCACACTCCTCGGACATCACACTCGCGGACTCGGTCTTGAGATCGCAGTTATTCTTGAGTTGAAGCAAAGAATCCTGGGAGATCAGTGCGTGACTCTCGAAAAAGTCGTACATGCCCATCAAGTCAGTCTCGTCGTTGATCACCGCGTTACCTATCAAAATCCCCTTGAGATTGAGTAAGCTGGTCGGGTGATGGGCGAGGATAGTATGGGCTAGTTGGGGAACATAGTGGCCTGCGTAGCTCTCACCGCCTATGTACAAGTCCCTGCCTTTGAACTCTGGGAACCTCTCCAGCCACTTGACCAAAAAGATGTAGTTATCGGATGCCGTGTTCCTGTCTCCGTGCTTCTCGAGATCTGATGTTGTGTTGGTGTAAGAGAATCCCA